TCTCACAAGAGAGTGTCCCATAAGAGTGCCCGACAAGAGTGTCCTACAAGAGTGTCCCACGAGAGTGTCCTACAAGAGTGTCCCACAAGAGTGTCCTACAAGAGTGCCTTTCAGGAGTGTCCTACAAGAGTGTCCTGTAAGAGTGTTCCACAAGAGTGTCCTACAAGAGTGACCCACAAGAGTATCCTACAAGAGTGTCCCAGAAGAGTGTCCCACAAGAGTGTCCTACAAGAGTGTTATTTGGACATATGTAGCTTTTCGAACGTGTTTGCATTCGGGTTCGTGGGCTCCATCTTGTTTTTGAAAGCATTCTCAGGGCGAGCCTCCATCTGTGCAGGAGCCTCCATCTGTGCAGCCACCATCCTTTGGTCGTGAGACCTTGCATGGAGATGCCTTTTGGCACAAACTGGCTTTCTTTTCATTTTCGGAGGCTGGTAATAAGATAGCCACCTCTTACTTCTTGTAGCTAGTAGCTACCTCCTACTGGTAGAAAGATAGCTGGTAAGCACAGAGTAATCTCGTTGTGAACGGTTTCATTTTTTCTTTTATGGGGGAGGATGGGGAGGGGAGGCCGCGCTTAAGTAGCAACTGGACGCAGGATAGCTCACGCTTTTTCAAGGAAGCTCCCCCTGCCGCTCTAAGAAGCGCTCGCACTATTCATTTGGTTCCAAGATTTTGTTTGGAAGCTTATTGTAACGGTTCCTCTTCTTGCTTGGTGCTTGCAGCTTTCCTGAGTCCTGGCGGCCCTTCAGTGCAGAAGAGTTGAACAAATCAAGGCCTGGGCTGTCTGTGCGGTGCCAAGCTATTGAATGCAAGGCAAAGACGAAGCGAGACACATAAACATTCATTGATGCGTGTGCTTGAATCTGGTTGAAGCTAAGTTCTACAGCATGGCAAAGACTGGCACGCTCAAAGAAATCGGAGCTATTATGGCACGCCTCGAGAGAGATTTTGCCACCCAAGCTGCCCGAAAGCATTTGACCAAGGACAAGAAGTCACATGAACATAGAAAGAATCATGGCAGGCGGGTCAGCTAGTGTGGCTGCAGAAAGTAGTTGGAAGACTGACAAGTTGGTATTGAGTATTGATCATGCGTCCAGGGTTGTTGTGGGCAGTCGTGTGTGCTGTGGAAAGCGTGCGCCTTGCTAATGCTTCCAGTTGCCTTGGTATCAGGTAGACACTTGAGGCAATCAGGTTCTGCCCACGGGCTGCCGGAATCTAGCAGCTAGCATCAGATGCTTTGGTCATTCACTCTAAATTGGGTTACTGTAGGTCAGTTGGAAAAAAACTCACTAACATACAAAAGGTTGCACCTGGTGAGCTAAAGTGTTCCAAGAAATCTGGGAACCAAATCATTAGCGTGAGTTCTCAAGTATTGCTAGAAGCTTACTTCTCCCTAACTTGATTAAGTAGAAGCCTACTCGATTAAGTAAGGAGGCAGGGGGACCCCTACGGGCAAAAAGAAAGTCGTTCAACCGATAGCTACCGGTTGTTTCTACTAGCTACCTCTAGCTAGGTTAAGTTTCTCCAAAAATCTAGGAACCAAATGATTAGTGCGTGAGCTATCCGGCGTCCATATGTAGCGTCCTGTAGCTACTAGCTACCTCAGTTCCTTAATTAAGTAGGCAGTCTCTACTTAATAAGTAGGGAGAGGGAAGAGCTAGCTGGCCCCAAAAAGTCAAACACTTCGACTTCCCACCAGGTGCGAAAGCTTTTGCCGGCCTGAAAGTGCCAGAGCCTTCAGAGCGACATCTTGAGACTGGGTGCTGTGCATGTCTTCGCAACTGATTTGTCAAGGCTCCTCCCGGCATTGACAATCTGTACCTTGTTGGGTCGCCGCCTCATAGTGAAGTCAAGACGATTTGTCGAAGCCTTGCTCTTCAGGCGTGGAGGAGCATTGGGATCCTCCCTGAGAGCAGGCCAACGGTCATGTCCAGTCTACATGACCTCAATCCCCAAAGTTTCTTGACATCGCAGGTGACTGCTACTCGACCTCGAACCAGCATCAATTCTTTGACTTGAGATACATGGTGCCTCCCTTTCGCAGAGTGACTCAGTTTGTTGTGTGCTTCAGGCAAGACCTCTTGAATTGCAACATTGGCTCAAATATCCTCAAATTCTTGATGTGTTGAATGAAGGCATTATACAACTTGCTTTTTCATGACCGCTTTCATCCACTACCTACTTGTACTAGTTGCGGCACACGGATTGACGACTTCCACAGGATGCTCTGAAGTATGCAAGTGCCTCTTTCTACCCATGGCTCCTTTCCTCCGTTCTGCAGCCACCAAATACCACGGCCATGTCCATACGTGAGGCAGAACGATGGTGTGATTCAATGTCGTGTTGAGTCGAGTTGTGACCAATCAAGCGTTGAGCATGGTTTAATAGCATCCTCTTGTTCCTAGTAGTAAGGCCAGGAGCGCCCCTAGTAACGTCCTTGCTCCGTTCGTAGCGATGCCCTTTGTTACTAGTAGCGTTCTCGTTGCTGCCCTAGGAGAGAAACTCAAACTTTGCCTAAAGTGGCAATTGCAGCGTGCTTGCTGTACTCTGGCAACCTGCGAAAGCATGTGAGCTTGAGGGCTGCAACCGCCACAGAGAAGTTTAGCTTGGCTGTCAAGGAGAGTGTCCTGGCACAAAGCGATCAAACTGCAACGTTGAAATCGTTTGGCAATCAAGGGGTTCAAGGCATATCAAAGCAAGCAACAGAACATCCGCACAAAGGGGCTGAATAGCAGCAACCCTCAACAGCCCTTGGGAATCTAGAAATGGCTTTTGGCGGGGCTTCTTCAAGAAAGCTTCTGCTTCCACAAGATTCTTGACGACCCTAATTGGACCCTCGCATTGCCTCCCCAATTGGGCCAAGCCTGGCCATGCTTTGAGAGCAGTTGATGTTCGGTTTAGAATTCCGGATTCCAAGCACTTTAAGGCGGAATTGTTTCTCCGAGTTTCACCGGAATTGCTTCGAAGAGTTGAGGTTTAGAGGCGGCCTTTCAGGTGGCGTATTCCATGGGGCATTTGGCCAACAAGGGTAACACCATTGGCAGCGATCATTTGCTCGTGGGCATGGCGAGCGTTTCGCAGAGTTCGGTCTCACGAGCACTTCAATCTGTGGGTGTGACAGCAGAAGGCCTCCAAGAAAAGCTACGCTCTTCGAGACCGTTTGGCGCTTACGGCTTACAGCTTTGAATGACATGGAATTTGTATTGTGTCTTCACATTGAAGAATTGTTTATTGTTCTGCGCACGTCACAGTGCGGGGCATAACTGCTTGATTGATTCAATGATTGATGCAGTTGACACCCAGCCCAGGTGCAACCCACCGGAGGGTCAGCCACCTGCGGGAGAAGCTCTTTCGCCACCTCTTGACACGGAGGTTCAATTTTACCTTCGACGTGCATCAGGCTGGACGGCTGATCCAGCAAACTACCATCACAATACGAATTTCATCGAATTTGCATCCAGCTGCGAGGCATGTTGAGGTGGTTGCCATCTCAAGATGGAACCAGAATGCTTGGGACAGAGCACATCATGCTTGGTTGCTTGTTTGCAGCAGGAATCGAAAACAAGTGCTTCTGAACCCACAACATATCGCAACACCACCAGAGCTTCAGTGCTTGTTGCTAGCTGGAGTCACCTCTTTAGCAACATGTTATTTTTTTGTTTTGCTTCTTGGGGTGCTAAACAAGGGGTGCACATTCCACCTGTGTCGCACCCACAGCTACGCACCTAATGACTTTGTTTCACTTGGATCTTCAAGTCCTCAACAATCCTCAACAAAAACGGTGGCAGGAAAAACCAAGTGGATAATGCTTCAAGCATCTCAAGTGCTAAAGCTAAGCAAGCCCTGACGTATGCAGGATTTAAATGGATTTACTTATATACTAGCTTGGCTTTCCATTGCAGAGGCCTTCTGAGCAACGGAAGCCATGCTGCTGGAAAACTGCTACTGGCCTTCGATCAAGAAGGCTTCGATCGAACTGCTACTTATCTGGCAACGATGAGAGAAATTAAAGAACTCAACACCATAATTACCTTGCTGAACCTGCCTACAGTGCGACTTCTACATAGTCGCATACTTTTGAGAACTTATAAAAATACATGTCATGCATGGCATGTAATGCCTTAAGTATATTTAAAATCCCGGTGATTTGCGCAAATCAAGGTGGGGAAATTTGATTCTGGGTCTGGTGGCTCTGCTTCAAACCCTCGAAGGGCAGCTTTGCGGAAGGCAATAATGCAAATCGTCAACGAGGGCGAAGGAGACGCAAGTGTTGATCATTCAATGTACGCCGTAGCTGCTGGCAGAGTTGGATCGCCACGAGGAGGCTCGAAGGGGCAGGGAATCGAAGAGGCTTCACTCCTTGACCGCTTTGCTCCGGACCTGACGACCTTAGCGGAAGAAGGCTCACTGGACCCATTTTGTGGGCGAGAGGCGTTGATTGATCGAATTGAACGCACTCTTGGCCGGCGGCAGAAGCCCAATGTACTTCTTGTTGGAGATCCAGGAGTGGGAAAGACTGCCTTGGTGGAAGCCTTGGCACAGCGTATTGTACGTGCAGAAGTGCCGTGGTGGCTGAGGGGAAGGAGGCTTCGAAGCTTGGACGTAGCTCAACTTACTGCTGGGACGCGATTGCGTGGAGACTTTGAGGAGCGGCTAGCTTGTGTACTTCAGGAGATTGATGCTGAAAAGAGCATCTTATTCATAGATGAAGCTCACACAATAGTAGGAGCTGGATCAACCAGCTCCAGCTCTTTGGATGCTTCAGATATGCTGAAGCCAGCACTGGCTAGAGGAGGGTTGCAGTGCATAGCAGCAACCACTGTGGAGGAATACTCAACATACTTTGCTCGCGATGCTGCCCTTGACCGGCGATTTGAAGTTGTGGAAGTGGAGGAGCCCACAGCGGAAGAGGCCATCCAGGTCTTGGAAGGGCTACGTAGAGAATACGATGCTGGGTTTTGAGATCTCAAGCGTTTGAAGCATTTTTGCCAACTATGTCATGTCTCCATTTAGCCACAAGTACATAGTGCTTGTACGTGCTTGTAGTGCTGTTGTTCAGGCACCGAATGAAACATGATTTTGACTTCTCAGGAAAGACATCATGGAGTCTTGTTTCAAAATGATGCCCTGGCTGCAGCTGCGACTTGGGCAGCCCGGCACTTGCCGGAACGAAAGCTTCCTGACAAGGTCCCGCAGTGAAACAGATAACATTTGCAGAAACCCGCTCAACCAAAGTAGGACCTTTCCCCAAAGTGCTTTAGTCCTTACTTTTGAGGGGATCATTCAATTGCATTTCTTGTCAGCTAGAACCAGGGAGAATACAGATGTGAGGCTATCGATATTGCAGACCGTGCCGCTGTGCTTGCCAAGAGCAGGATGACCGGCAGCTCGAAGGTCAAGAGCCAAGCCACACGAAACATAAAACAAAAGGGCTGTGATTGACGGATAGTGAGCTGGTAGATGCTGGTAGCATTTTATTAGGGAAAGACACAGAAGTGTGATGTCCGATGGACATTCTGCATAATTTCCGCAGATCGATTGGTGAATGATGTACAAGGCTATCATAAGATATTCTTAGATTCTCCGCTGCACAGGCAGAAGTGACCACTGCGGATGTGGCTTTAGTGCTTGAAGAGACTATTGGCCTTCGTCCTGGCTCTGTGTCTGCAGCTGAAGCACGAGGGATCGTGGATCTTGAGGCCAGTGTTTCATGTGATTTCATGTCCGAAGGCATTCATCAACCATCCTCTAGTACAGTTGATAGGAAGCCATTGCGCAGTGTGGGTTGATTCTGATTCTATATGATTCTATTGTATGTTCAGCGAACCAATGCATGTAATGCAAAGCTGTAAGAATTGAAACAGTTAAGCGTTGCTTCTACTCTGACCACCTCGTAGCTGCTGTAGCTTGATTTTGAAGCGATCTCCGAGAGGAAACCTTGCACAAGCGGGTTTGCGGGCAAAGGGCTGCGGTGCAGATGGTGGTGACAGCAGTGGCTCGGGCGAAAGCTGGCTTGCAAGAGACACACCGGCCCATTGCATCTTTGCTTCTCTACGGCCCTCCAGGCAGGGGGGGAAGTAATTAGGGGGGAATAGGTTGGCTAGTAGCTATTGGTAGCTAAGCAGTAGCTAGAGAAGACGTAAGGGGTCAGTAGTAGATTAAGTAGCTACTAGAGGAACGTGAGCTTCTTCAAGGAAGCTCCCGCTGCTGCCCTAAACCCAAAAGCTGATTGGTTCTTGGAGGTGTTGGAAAGACATCACTTGCAACTGCACTTGCAGAGACGTGGCTCGGCTCTCGTCGTGCTCTTGTCCGAGTGGAGTCTTGGACTAACCATGTTTTTTTTTAAGTCTACTTGGAAGAGAGTGCAACTTGTTCTTTTAGTATCGGAGCCTAGCACTTTCTTACAGTCGTTTCATGTCGTTTCTAGCAGTTGAGCAATTTTTGAGGACTGCGCCAGTGCCAGCAGTGCACAGCAAGCAGGCAGCGCGCTTGCAGCAGCTGTGCGGAGACGGCCACACTCTGTGGTGCCTTGACATCGAAGTCAAATTGGTCCATTGGAGGCCACCGCTATTAATTAGGTCGGAGGCCATCGCTGTTATATAGGTTGCAGGCCATCGTTAGCAGGTTGGAGGCCATCGCTATTAGAAACATAAAAGAAAAGGAAGAAAGGTCTAATTAATATAGTTTGCATATTTGACGCCAAGGTGCTCATTGATGAAGCGGACAAAGCTGATCCCGACTTTCTCAGTTTGCTGCTGGAAGTCATCGAGGCACAAAAAATAGACATCCGTCAAAGAGTCAAAGACCGTTCAAAACAAGCAGATTTAGAAGTGCGAAGGAAGCATCTTTGAGCCTGCTGGGTCCCGGACCTGGACGTGCTGATTTCCGCCATACCGTCAATGTCCTAGTCTTGTCAAGGCGTGTTGTTCTTGGAAGGTCAGATGGATTGTGGATTTAGCTCATTCTGATTTAGCTCATTCACGTGTTAGAAGGCTTTGCATAGTACGAGTCTCCCCAAAGTTTCGCAGAGTCTTGCTTGTCACTGAGGTTGTGTTGCTCACTTCCAACGACCCGGCTGGGCCGAATGGTCTGCCGAGGGCTTTAGCCGATCGCCTTGATGGCTCCGTGCACCTAAGGTGTGGAAGATAGCGGAGTCGACCGATCGCTCCGTTCGTAGCGATGCCAGGAGCCCCGAACGTAGCGAGCGTCCGATCGCTCCTAGTGCTACATGTTACGACCCCATACATTTCCATACTCATCATACTCCAAAATTCAGACGTCCAACAACCAGGCTACAAAGAATTCTGTCATGTCACTGTTCTTGGTTTGTGCATAGCCCAAAGAGTTGCAACTGAAATTGTATATGGGAATTCGGGTACGCTCAATCTTCTCTTAGACTGCTTTTGATAGATCTCGAATAGCTTTCATATGCACTGGGCAAACTCAAGCTAATCAGGCTAGGACCTTTCTGTATAATATGGAAGCCATCAGAACCCTCTCCTTTGTCTCCTTGGCTGCCCTTGTAGGCCTTTGAATTCCAGTGTGGTGCAAGAGGTTGGGAACCCTAGCCTGCAAAGTGCAAAGTGGAAGCACACAAATTTGAAGCAATGAGATATCATGACATGTGCTCACTTTCACCAGTCATAATACTTATACTACAGGTAGGATCAAAGCAACACATGCGCATGCTTGCGCTACTCATTCTAAAGTCGTTCGGAGTTTTGGCGAAAGGTGCTTGATGGCCTTGTTGCGGACTTCTCATCGCGGCTGCGAGAAACACACGGAGCTGTTTTGCACGTCACGGAAACCTGGAGACAGATGGTCTTCGACATGCTTCGCATCTTAGATTGTATGGTTATTTCTCTTTGGCATTGAAACGGGTCTCAATCTTTTGCTCGCTTGTCTTCGAGCCCTTCTTTCAGATTCTGAGATTCTTTCACCACAGTCAATGTATCAAACACTTGAGGTCCGTCCGGTTGAGTTGTCCGAAGAGCTGAGGCAATGAGGAAGATAAGGAACACGCTGGTGTGGGTGCACGTGCGTTGCGACGCATTCTCCGGGAATTCCTGGAAGATCCGATTGCCTATGCCATCCTCAAGCACCAGGCTCTACCCTCGTGTGAGACACTGCAATGCAAGCGAAGTGCTCGGCTCGAATCGGGTACCACAAAGGTCAACAAGAAACAGACAGAAACAGATAACACTTACAAAGTCTGAAATGTTGCATTTTTTTTGCCAACCCCGGGAAGAACCCTGGGCCTCTTTTCAATGAAGCTCATGCAGGGTATCGCAGTCCCTCTTAATGCAGGAGCTTTGCCTAGTAAGAACAGCCCCTGGCAGCTAGCAGTGTCCAGGGCGGAGATTCTGAGACCTAGATTCTGCCAGGCATCACAGGGAGGAGCAGTTGAGAAAGCGCCCTGGAAAGCAAAGGATAAGGACTAGGAGCAACGACCTCCAACTTACTAGCGATGGCCTCTAACCTAATAGCGATGGCCTCCAACCTAGAAGCGATGGCCTACCATCTCCTACTTGTTAACGAACACTGTCATACGTGGGATCGTGAGATATCTCAGGTCTTTGTGGATACCGACGAAGATGGCAAGGTCTGCGCGTCCGTTCAGAATGTCTAGACTGGTCAGCCTGGAGAACGGCGATTTTCCATTCCGCTGAGAGGAAAAAGTGTGAATCTCTGAATGGACCTTCCCTAACAACAAACATTGCACTGGCTTTGGGGTTCAGCTCTGGATCGTGCTAAGCAGACATGAGGGCAAATTTCATGCACACACTTTCTTGTACAGTAGTAGTCCTTTATACAACGCATGGCAAGAAAGAGCACGTGTTTTTGTCAACAGTTTGCTCGTATTTTTGTTCAACCAACTTGAATACTGTGAGACCAATCTCGGCAAGACCAATCTCTGAAACAATGCAACGCCGGTTTTGTTACAACAACTTGCAAACCATTGCTGTCTGTGCCTCACATTGCAGATATGGCTTGCGCCCAAGGTTTTGCTGCCGTGTTCCTGTAAGTTTGAGTGGTAAGTGTATAGTGCATATTGCATCGCTGCTCAAACCTCAGGCTGTAGCAGCAAAAGAGCACATGGCTAAAGCTGAGCAGGTGCAGAACATTATGGTCGCAGCTTGTTGAATAGTCTTGCTATGTCTTGCTGAGGCGTTGAAACCATCATGGATGTCTTTGAAGTTTAGCCAGCATCTCAGAGATTCTACATAGTCTCTTCACGCATTCACTGCCGGGGAAGGTCCAGACCACTTGACGGCGTCCATGGAGTACTCGCAGGCCCACAATGCTTCATGCATGATTCATTAGAAAACAAGCTGAAGCTCGTTTAAGGCTGCCACCCAATTCCGGGCTGCAGGGCTTCTGCAAGAATGCGTTGGGAAGCCTGGAAAGCAATTGTTTAATCTTCAAGAGGCGACTGGCAACAGCAAGCCAAGCTCCGGCTTCGAAAATGGAAACAGCGACGATTGAACAGCCTGATCTTTTGTGACCTTAGGCTGATGCTTGGGTCAAGACAGGTGAGATGAAGGACTCAGACACTTGTCTCAAACTTGACTAGCCTCTCAGCAGTTAAATTAAGTAAATCACCTGCTTCTTGGTTCAATGACAGATGGAAGGAGCTCCTTCATGATCTTTTCAGCGCTGGCCGGGCGCAACGAGTCTGCAATATGACTGATTGACATGTCTAAGACTTCTCAAGCTCAACAAACTTGGAATCCAAGTACCCACGCTAGATCAAACTCATCATTTTTTCCTACAGGTGTTCCCTTTTTGCCATCAGACACATTCAGATTGATTCGATTCCCTCCCCCTCCCTTCCTTGCCCTTGTAGGATTTGAAATCGAGGTATGAAAGCGCAGCTGGCATTTGCGATGGTAGCGGCCCGGGAGGTCCCAGCGCTGCGATGATGCACTGGGAGAAGGTGCTACTTGTGTCTAGCTGTGTGGAGGCTTCTGGCCAGGTGTAACTGGCCTTTGTTTGACGATGTAACTGGCCACATGGTGCTGGACAGGCAGTTCGATGCTTTAGATTGGCTGGCAAGGTGGATGTAGCTGCCAAGGCAAGCAGTATCCACAGAGACTTTCCACTATATAGATTGTGTAAGTGTAAGTGATGTTGTTTAGGAACGCTGCAGACCCCAGCCAAATTGAGCAGACACAAATTCAATCACTCATTCTCTTTGTGCAGCTCCTGCTGAAGTTGGCCAGCGTCAAGGAAAAGTGGGACACCAAGAAACTCCCAGCCACTCATAGATGATGGACGTCTACCAGATGTGGCAAGCACAGAGCACGCATCAATTACTTCTACAGTGAGCAAGCCTACTGAAGAGATGATAGGCAAGGTGATGTTGATGGTGCAAAGTCCGCCTTCGAGGCATCTCGCAAGCGTCTTGATACTCCTTTGCCACAATGTTTCAATCAATTGCAATCACTTGCCAGGAGACCATAAGTGCTTTTGAACAAGAGGAGAAGGCAGTGGGTACTGTGTGATACTGCTGCTAAATAAAATGTACAGACATTGGATGTATACATGCTTGAATGCTGAGATTTGGACATGTTTGAGAAACCAGTGGATGCACTTGTTTCAAGCCGTATATCCTAAACAACACTACTTGTATGTAATATGAACCCACGTCCCCGGGTGTTAAGATGTTTGTTCCGTATGTTGGAACCGTAGTGTTTGGGCTTAAGCTTGGATGGACCGGTGCCGTGGGTGCCATCTGTTCGACAAGCCCGCGGAGGACGACCTTTGCCGTGGTTGCAGGTCCGTTCGACGGATCCGTGACTTCTTCTGTGGAGGGTTTCTACTCCGTTCACAGGAGGCGAGAGCAGTAGCTGCTCTTAGGACTTGCGTTGGGGAGCTCACGGACCTGGTTGAGATTGCCTCACCTATCCTCGAGAAGGAGAAAGCCGAAGCGAACCCTACAGAAGACAAGTCTAAGGACTTGAGCGGGAAGCCATCGGCTCCTGAGGTTGAAGGTGGACCCGAGGCACCGGCTGTCAAGACAGAGGCCGTCGAGAAGGACGAGAACGCCAACGAGACACCAGGAGTCAGTGAAGTAGTGGACAAAGAGGAGGACACACAGGGTGAGAAGAAAGAGGAAAAGAAGAAGAAGAGGAAGAAGAAGCATCCAGATCAGAAGCCATCAAAGAGGCGACTTGAGAAGAAGGAGAAGAAGGCAAGAGAGAGAGAGGCACAGATTGCAGAGGATAAGAAGGAGAGCCTTCCGTCGAGGGACGAAGCCATTGCGGCTCGAGTCCTGGACCATCTGGCAATCAAAGCCCCATCAACAGTTGGGTTAGTCCCAGTTCCCAGAGGGAGTGTCGCCCGTCATTACGAACATCTACCACCGCCTCCTCCGGCGCCCAAGCGGCCCAGGTCTCCTGACCATCCGCCTGGAAGAGGAAACGAACGTGGCAGGTATCGAGACTATCGTGGACGACAAGGACCCGGTTCGAGCAGTCGACCGTCAGGTCAAAAGAAGCGTGGAACGAAGGGTGCAAAGCATCGTGAGCGAGGAAGGACGTGGCCTTTTCGTGCCCCCTACTGAGCCCGATGGCGCCAAAAGCACGACCAGCAGCAAAGGGCAAGGCGAAAGCCAAGGCCATGGTGGTGAGGCCGAGGCGAGCGGACAGAGGGCGAGTGACGCTGGACGGCCGGCGAGGAGATCAAGGTGTCGGAAATCCCAATCGAGCACGTTTGGGTTGGGACAATGATAGAGGTGACCGATGGAAGTTACTTCGGGTCTCCTTGCAAGGCAGCAGGACAGCTCCAGTCGATCGATGTACAACTGGATGCGGTGCACTTCCGTCTCAAGTTGACGGGCACCACCAACGAGGAGTTGCTGAAGCACCAGACTGGAAGCCCCTCGCAATTGGTGAGCGTCCACCGCTGCCCGAGCGATTGCACAGCCGAACGCATGGCCGAGGACCTCCTCCACGCCTTCAAGATGAGGAAGCTAGGCTTGGCCCACCCGGAGGAGGGGTGGGCCAGGAATTTGGTGGTTGTGGCCGCCGACGACGAGTTAGGAGCCCTCAGATCACGGGGCGAAGCCCTCGCTCCTGTCGACCCCGGGAGAGAGGGAGTTGTCGAGAAGAAGGACGACAAGGCCAAGAAGACCGAGAGGAGCCCGAGCAAAAGAAGGAAGAAGGACAAAGACAAGAAGAAGTCCAAGAGATCAAAGAAAAAGAAGAAAGAGTCCGGGCGCAGTGTCAGCACGGAAGGACGTGGCCGCAAGAAGGCAAAAGAGGAGGAGGCCAAGAAGCGCCGGAGATCATCGACCTCGAGCAGCCGGTCAGTACAACTGACTGGCAAGTATCCTCGTGCGGCCTCAACAAAGTCGTACGAAGCTCTCTATTCGGGGACCGGCCTGGACAAGAAAGAGCGGATCAGACGACGTGTTCTGAAGAAGGCCAAACGGGCGGCTCGCAAAAAGACCAAGGAGAAGTCGTCGGACGGGAGCGACAGCTCCTCGGATCAGAGTGGGTCGGATTTGGAAGCAGAGGCCGAGGACACGTTGTTCGAGGGAGAGACCAAGGTGCAGCGGATCGCTCAGCGGTGCCCAGGGGCACTAGCCTATCAAGCATTGGCCATGATGCGTTCCAACCTCCTGCAAGAAGCGGGAGCCCCTCGGAGGGGGGCTCCTTGGAGCCTATTGCACTCATGTATATGCGGCAGCACCTCGTCAAGAAGGCCAATGGTCCAGCACTTCGAGAAATCCTCACATTGTCGATAGCAGTGGACCAGTTGCTGAATTCTCGACCAGCGAGAGCGCTAGATACACTGCTGCAGAGATTGAAGTCGGTGGAAGCCGGCCTGAACGGCGCCCACTGGTCAGTGGCACAGAAGTTGGAAGTAGGGCCGACCGAGAACTTGATGCTTACAGCCCAAGAGGAATTGAGCTCAGCACAAAAAGAGGCCTATACAGATGCTCGAACAAAGATGTTGGCAGGCCTGTCCGAAGGCCGACCAAAAGGCTATGCAAAAGGAAGCTCCAAGAACAAAGACGACGGCAGGCGAGACAGAGATCGTCCAAAAGGGAAAGACAGCGGAAAGGGCAAGAGCAAGTCGTCCAACAAGGAGGAGCAGGCGAGCAAATAGAGGCTCCTGGGAACGGGAGACCAGAGATTGACTATGAGGCGGCGTTGAATTTTGGTTGGGTCAGCGGTGCGAGGGACCGGCCGGGAGAGGCAGAGATCGCACTGGGTGGCCCGTTTGGACAACTGTCGCACACCCCACAGGCTGTTGTAGATCAGCCAGTGGATGAGGCCCCTTTGTTAGAGGCCGATGGGTGCAACACCTTCCCGCCAATGCCCCCGCCATTTGTTTGCGAAGTGGGTACGGCGAAGGCATCGGACCTCGTGATGAGCGATGCAAAAAAGGAGCGCTTGGGGAGTGAGCTCGAGGGTCGATCGATTGGCGTACTGGGGGGCTGGGTGGTACAGAGGTTTCTGGAGGTGGTTCCACTTCGCAGCATGTTCACGGGCAAGGGTGGAAATAGAGACATCTTTCCTTTGCCTACCTCCTTTGACTTCTTGGGGAGCCTCTGGCCTTCTAGGTGCCGGAATCAGATCGACTGGATGGTTTGCATGACTACTGCACTGAATTCATTTTGGGGTGAGGAGCTTTTTGGAAAGGACGAGGCTTCTGAGATTCAAATCAAGGTGCTTAACAACTTGTTGGAAGAAGTTGAGAGGTTCTGCAATATGGGCTTGGTAACAGTAGGCATTGACTGGGGATCCTTCTTTGCGGTTAAGAGCATTGATTATAAAGGGGACGAGGTGAAGGTGGCTCGATGGATCAGCTGGGACAACATTGAACCAGCCCTTCCAAAGGAGATTGGAGCAGTGTGTCTGGAAGAGGTTTGCTCCTTGGGGTGCAAAGAGTATGTCACCTCCTTCGACCACTTGTGAAGGCAGGGGTGTGTTGCTTCCTGGAGAGTGGAGAAGTGTTCGACACCGGGAGTGGTCCACTCCTGAACGGACTGTTTGGAGTTTCTAAGGACGAACATACATCTTCTGGCACTGAGATCTGCCGCCTTATTATGAATTTGACGCCATTGAATGCTCTCTGTCAGCCCCTGGGAGGGGACGTGGATACCCTCCCCTCCTGGGGAATGATGAGCCCCTTTTTCCTCCAGCCGGGGCAGAACCTTTTGGTATCATCCGAAGATGTGAAGTGTTTCTTTTACACGATGCGGTTGCCACAATGCTGGGTCAGGTTCTTGGCCTTCAACAAGGAGGTGCCGGCTGAAGTCCTCCCGGAAGACCTCAAGGGTAAGACGGTGTACTTGGCCTCGCGGGTGCTGCCCATGGGGTTCCTTAACTCCGTGAGCCTAGCCCAAAATGTGCACCGTAACCTGGTCCAATGGTGAGGGGGAGGTTGTCAACCTTGGTCACCAGGAGCTCAGGAAGGATCGCCCTTTCCCATCGGCGCTGACGTCCTGGCGGGTCTACTTGGATAACTATGACCTCTTGGAGCGCGTGGATGCCACCGGAATGGTTGAGAAGGAGGGTACGATCCCACCGGGTATTTTAGCTCTCAGGTCGGAGTACGAAACGAACCGACCGACACACCCCGCCCCCGGAAAGTGATGCGTCCGAGCAGGTAACCATGGGATCGACATCACACCGGAAGTTCATCCGGACTAGGGGCATGAGGCAGAGGAAGCGCAGGATCTCAAAACGACACTCCTTGGGCAGCGGCTGGTACTTCTGCTGCTTCTCGCTGAAAGACTCGATGAAACGCCACACCGCGTTCAGCAGGCCCAACATCGGCCGTCTGAACATCGAAAAGTAGACCAGGCCACCGCACACCACCTGCATCTGCCTCTGGGTCACATATCGTTGCTCCACCAGCTTCATTCCCATGCTCATGTACTTGCTCAGCTTGGCCTCTTTGGGGTAGGCTAGTCCACGTACCTGGAGCTCACAGCGTGCTGAACGCTCTACAGACTTCTTGGCATTCCTGGGCTACGAGGGGGACTACGTGGCCAACGTCCCCGCCCCGCCGAACAGTTCCAGGTAGTGGTCATAGGGTTATTTGACGGAATTGGCGCGCTCCGAGTGGCCATGGACCTTCAAGGGGTATCGGTGTTGGGTTATGTATCTGTGGAGAAGGAAGCTCATGCGCGCCGTGTCATTGAGTCTCATTATCCAGGAGCCCTGCACTACCATGACGTCACCACCATCACTGCAGTCGAAGTTGAGGCATGGTCCCTCAAGTTCTCCCAGGCGGACCTGGTGATAGTGGGCGCGGGCCCACCGTGTCAAGGAGTTTCAGGGTTAAACTCTGACCGCAAGGGGGCACTTCGTGACGCTAGGTCGTCACTCTTTGTACACGTGACACGGATCGCGACGTTAGCCCGCCAGAATTTTCGCTGGTGTCAGGTCCACACCTTGATGGAGTCGGTGAGTTCTATGGATACCATTGACAGAGACATCATGAGCGATGACTTCGGCGGGGCGCCGGTGCACATCGACGCTGGGCGGATGACCTGGTGTCATAGGCCTCGGCTATACTGGACAACGTGGGAACTTCAAGAGGGGGAAGGTGCCTCCCGAGTTCGCGGAGCTCAGATAGACACTTGGGTGCTGGAGGCCCATCAACAGCTGGATGACCTATTGGAGCCCGGGTGGACGAAGGTGGACCCGAAGCAAGCTTTTCCGACCTTTACCACATCCAGGCCTTCGTGGACGCCGGGGCGAAAGCCTGCGGGCATGCGTGAGTGTTCCACTCATGTGTTGAAACGGTGGGCGGATGATTGGCATCGCTTCCCGCCGTACCAATATAAAGACGCCCATGGGGTCCACAACCGCAAACAAGCAATCCGTGTCCCCTCCATCTCTGAGAGGGAGCTGATGATGGGGTTTCCTCTCCACTATACAGCGGCATGTTGGTGCAAATCCGAAAGGAAGAAAGAAGGATACCTCGACGCTCGACTCACTCTGATTGGAAACTCTTGGAGTGTACCGGTGGTGTGGTGGCTTCTGAGCCAGCTGCTGTCGTTGCTCGGTGTGTGCGCGGCCCTCAGCCCACAACAGGTTGTGGATCTATGCTGCCCAGGGGGTTCGGATTCCCTCCGGTTGGTTCGCCGCGCTGGTGAGGGGACTGGTTCACAGTATGACCTGGCATTCAAGTTGTGCAACTTAGTCAGCATGAAGGGGGAGGACATTCTCCTGTCGACACCGAGTTCCCAGCTGGTGAAGTACCACCGCCTCCGGGCCTCTGTCCCGGCCAAACTGTGGAAATGGAGTGTCGTGGCTAGCTGGAAATGGCGTCGAGGTAAAGAACACATCAACAGTTTGGAACTCCGTGCTATCCTCAATGCCGTAAAGTGGCGCATTCAGCATTGTGGTCATTTGGGAAAGCGGCTGCTGCATTTGACTGACTCCCTAGTGTGCTTGCATGCTCTGACCCGAGGACGGATTAGTTCTCGACGATTACGGAGCACCATGGCCCGTATTAACGCTCTTGTTCTCTGTTCTGGCTCTCAGTTCGTTTGGTCGTATGTGTCCACGGACACCAACCCTGCCGACAAGCCTAGTCGGTGGGGGAGGCAGTTGAAGACGAAGTATAGAAATGCCTAAGCGAATCTTGGAGGGCGGAACAGAGCGAGAGCGTGCAAAAATGCGGCAGAAATTGGGGAGTTTAAAACAGTTGACAGTGCAACCAGCTACTCGAAAGAGATATGACTTGGCAGTGGATGCTTTTCTCACGTTCCTCAAAGCAGAGCACCTCATCTTGCCCAAGGAGAAGAAAAAGCTGGACCCGCTGGTTTGCGACTATTTGGAGCATCTCTGGTTCATTGGCAAAGGACGGGGACTGGCATGTGATACCCTGGCCGGGTTGCAAGACATGCAACCGGGGTTGCGTAATCATCTCCCTGCGGCTTGGCGGTTACTCCGCACGTGGCAGCATAATGAGATCCCCAGTCGCGCTCCGCCCCTGCCGGAGCATGTGGTCCAAGCCATGGCCGGTTGGGCCATCTTTAAAGGCTGGCACTCCTTTGCTCTGTCATTAGTTGTAGGCTATTACGCCATGTTGAGGACAGGAGAAATCCTGGGGCTGCGAGCAAAGCACCTCGAGTGCGCTGCCTCCTGCCTGCAGGCTGTCATCAGCCTTGGTTATACCAAAGGAGGCAAACGTCAGGGAGCCGCTGAAAGCGTCGTGCTGGGCCTGGAGCCCATCGTCTACCTGGTCAAAGCCTGGAAGAAGACTGTTGCAGAAAGCACTAGCCTCACACCGTCCCCGCCCAAGTGGCGCCAATTGTTTAACCAAGCACTGGAAGCGCTCGGAATCTCAGACTTTAAATTCCGCCCCTACTCGCTTCGGCGAGGGGGGGGCAACGTTTTTCTTTGCAAAGCACCAAAACCTGGACAGGATCCTTTTACAAGGTCGCTGGCACACTCAGAAGAGTGCCAGGATCTACATAAACGAGGGGTTGTCTGTGCTGTCGGAAATGAAAATTCCCCCTCAGGATTCGAAGTTGAAGCCTTTCCTCACTGTATATAAGAGTTTCTTGCTCCGCCCAATCTTCCCAACACTTGAGCCTCCTGTCGGAAGGGCAGGGGGCCGTGGAAGGAAGTCGAAACCGACTCGCAAGAGGAGAAAATAAAGTTGCCTT